GGGTAGCTCAGGGTAGGCAAGAGGTGGGTAGCTCATGGAAGACATACCATAGAGAGGATTGGCTCCTTCCAGTGACCATTCAGCTATAATAAGGTCAGAGGTACAAAACCATTTGACGTTTTGCCTGCTTACCTTGAGTCTGCTAGTGAGTTCATCTACTCTGTTGCTGCCACTAGTATCTTTGCTGAACCAGATTCTTCTGGCTTCCAACCTGTACTGAAGACCAGTGGTTCTCTTAGACTCTTTAGATCATCAGTGCTAGACTGGGATGCTAAGGTGTCTATCCAGTTTTGTGGATATCAGCTACCAGACTCTTAGCCTCTTCAGTGTGAAGTCAGCCATTGTGAAGACACCCAGACAGTACTGTATAAGCCAATCTGATAAATGGCCTTTTAAAATATATATTCATTCTATCTTTTTGGTTCCCCTAGGGAAGGCTAATATATAACCTGTCTGAGTTTTCTAAAAAGAAAGATATCATGGACCTGAAGCAAGGTATGACAATCATCAGAGTCACCCGGAGAGCTTGTTAAAAATAAAAACTCAGTCACTATTGCAGACCATCCTAAATAGCACCTCAGAACAGAGCCAAATAAGCTGTATTTTTACCAGGTTGTCCAGGTAATTCCAGGCATGTGATGGATGCCACCAACAGAGCCAGCTGGGACCGTTCTGCTTCATCCCACACTGCAGATGGGCAAAGAGCTCGTGGGAGGCAACGAGGGTGGCCTGAGAAAAATGGTGATCCCCGCACCCCTCCTGAGGGAGCAAAGTGGTGACCCCACCCCTCCTGAGAGAGCAAAGTGGTGACCCCACCCCTCCTGAGGGAGAAAAGTGGTGACCCCTACCCCTCCCAAGTAAGGTCACTTCCGGCCCAGCACAGGACCAAAGGGGAAGATGAAGCCGGAAAGCGAGGCTGCGTGGGTTCCAACTCCTAAAATCTCTAGGTCTTCTCTTCCACCTGAGATCCCATTATGCCCTTGCCTTTGTTTATGCTCTTACTGGTGGTACCCGTTCCCTCCAGGTCCCATCGTGGCTTCCTAGATCCAGGAAGCTTTTCCTAGCACAGACCAGGGACATCGCCCTTCGAACTTGAGCCTGCAGAGGCAGAACAGCCTGAAAGAGATGTTCCGTTCAGGGGCAGCGGGGGTCTTCCTGCTTGGTCCTGGGCTTAGACTCAAGGGGCCTTGAGGGAAAGTGGAGGTTTGATGGCGATGGAAATTTGCTGGACAAAAACTTCTGCCCCGAGAATAAAGGGAATTGACAAGCTTCTGCCCTACCCGGTCCAGACTGGTGGCAGGAACCAGGGAAGCTGAGAGGGAGGCGCGGAGGCGGCCTAGAGAGGAGTAAGCCTAGCAGAGAGGGCAAGATGAGGGGGACATAGTTACTTTCCCCCAGGACTCCAAGAACCCATGCCCAGCCAGTCCCTTGCCCTTAACAGATGGGCTAGCCTCATCTCAGCCCACAGTCCCGCCTGAACCCCCAACATAGGCACAGAGGTTCTGAGTTTACATCTTAGAGCCTCTTTGGGTCCCTGAGCCAGACTGAACATACACTGTTGGGGGAAGGACACAAAGGTTGACGCTGTCCATCTGAGAGTTCAGTGTCCACAAAAGCGTTCCAGTCCTTAGAGTGAAGGTTTCGACCCCTCAGGAAACCTGGTTACTGTGACGGTCCATGGAGGCCCAGGGGCAGAGGGTACCCACACCAGCACCTGAGGGTAAAGAGTGGAGCAAGTACCGTGGCTGATGCCAGAGCTCCTGATGGAGCAGAACTATCCTGATCACAGGACAGTGCCTGCAGAGTAGGGGGAGATCTGTGGGTGCTGCTGCCTCCCCCAGTTTCAGTAGGTCCACTTCCTGTCTGCGACAGGTACCTGCGCCATTCTGGGGTAGGCATCTTCGCGTCTTAGGTCTTGGAAGGGTCTGGAAATCCCCGTATTAGAATGCCACATTTCCTTCAGCCCTGGTCCTTCATGCTCTCGTCTACTTGGGGGCTCCAGCGCAACAGATGCTCCCTCAAAGCTTGGCAGAGGAGAGCCAAGGGGAGGGTATGGCGGGAATTTCAGTTCAAGGGTTGGGCTAATCCTGGAAGAGGCTTTGGGGTGGGCCAGGACTCATGGGCTTGCATATTCAACCTGGGTCAAAAGGCCTGGGTACTTGGTGCTCCTGGGTTCCCAGCAGAGCACTGAGCCATCCAGGAATAAGATGCCTTGAGGACAAGGTGGATGGTAACGGTCCATGGTAATGGCTTCAGGAGCCATTGAGTTCCTGAAGGTGTGTGCCCAGCATAGAGGTACACATGACGCAGTGTGTAACTGTTTGGGGCAGGGCTAGAGTAGAAAGGTATTGACATTGTGGTTACAGATCACGGCAAAAGTCAACAAGGATAGGGATCCTGGTGATGTTAAATTGGGGTTTGGAGTTGGGCTGTAATTTCACTGATTAAGTTTGCTCTGTCTTGGATTGGTCCTTTGGAGAGGGAATGGAGCATGTTGCTGAATTTAGGGTTAAGATTGACCAAGGAGTTCCATTGTGTGTTGGAGGTTGGTTCTCAACTTCTAAGACAGTCTAGGGAGAGATGTGGGGTTATGTGCCCTGTGAAGTTCTGCTCTGATAGTGGGGAGCTTGTTGACTGTTTTCTGGGCTCTCTGTGTGAGGTTAGAAGTCTCTCTGCAGCCATCCAAGTAGGGCAGGCTATCCAGGTCTCAGGGAGAAGGGACATCACAGCCTTCTACAGCAGGCTCACCTTGCCATCCAAAGGCCTTGCTGGCTTTCAACAGCATCTTCTTTCTCTAGAACATTTGTCTCTTTCTGGGAACGAGGTGGGAGTTG